TGTTTTAAAATACCAATTTTTGGATCGGGGTATGGGAAACATGTTTATGTTTTTAGTCACTTTTAGGGTTTTTTTTTTTCTATAACTGTAAAAACTGACAGGACCTTAAAATACGTACCCATTATAGTCGTTCAGTGGTGGCCCCAGGGGGTCTGATAGGGTGGGTCCAAACACAGAGCCAACTAGACCCTCGGTCAGAGTCCCGGAATAAAAATCTCTGGGCTTATGGGAGAGTTTTTTTTTTTAGCTTAGTATGGCCCAAAATTTTGCTTTTAAGTCAAAATATTAGGGATTGGCAACCAAATTAATTTTTTATGGATAAGCAAATCATTATTTGTGGTGTGGCAACCTCGTCGTGGCATCGTACAATGGGAGTCTATGCCTGTCTGATGGGAATTCCCCACCTCCCAAGCAAATTTGGAATGGTGACGTCAACACACCAAATTCCAAGACTACTACAATCAAAATTAAAGGAAATGTTTACCTATTTAAATTTAATCTTTCTACACTACATTTTTCATCATCATCATTATTATGTTGTTACTTTATAATATTATTAATATAGTACTCTATAGAATTATTCTTATGCGTTTCAAAAAAATTATACATTATTATTAGCGTTAGTACTGTTATTTTTACTTTACTGATGTCATTATTATTATCATCATCATCATCATCTTCCTCATTGTCATCCCCATCCTCATTATAATCCCCATTATAAGGAGGATGTTGGTCATGAGGAGAAGAAAGATGATTAGGATGATGGTGAGGAAGAAGATGATGGTGATTATGATTGATGATAATGGTTGTTGATGATAATGACTGTGATGATGGTGATGAGAATGATAGAAAGTGATTGATGAGAATGATGATGATGATGATGATGATGATGAATGATGATAATCATCCCTCTCATCCTCATCCTCATGTTCATTCTCGTCATCCTCCTCCTCATCATCATCCTCGTGATGATGATGGTGACTGATGATGAAGAGGATAATGATGAAAATGATGATGGTAATGTTGATGCTGATGACAGTAACCAGGAAGATGATGAGGATGACGATAATAATGAGGGTGATGGTAATGATGATTATGATTATGGTGATGAAGATAAGAATGATGATGAGGAGGATGAGGATGATGCAGTTGATGAGGAGAAGGAAGATGATGAGGTAGATGATGATTGATAATGGATGATGATGAGGAAGAAAATGATGCTGATAAGGATGGTGAGGATAATGATGATAATAAGGAAAATTAGGATGATGAGTTTGATGATAATGAAGATAAGGATGATGATGATTATATTGATGAGGATGATCGTGATAATGATGAGGATAATTGATAAGAATGATGTTGATTAGGTTAATGATGAAGAATGAGAAACATCCACTCTGCCCCTCATTCTCATTTTCATTCTTGTTGTTCTCCTCTTCATCATCATTCTCATGATGAGGATGATAATTGATAATGATGATTAATAAGGATGATGATGATGAGGACAAGGATGATGATGGATAATGATGATAATGAGGACTATGATTATGAATGATGAATGAGTGATGATAATAAGGAGGATAAGGATGAGGTTGATGATAATGAGGATAAGGATGATGATGGATGAGGATGATTAGTAGGTTGTGGTGATGGTGATAATGATAACGATGATTGTTGAGAATGGTGATGAGGGTTACAATGATGGATGAGGATCAATGCCATAGCCAGGATTTTCAAACGGTGTGGGACAATATCAGGGTGGACCCACTTTACGTGTAAATTTAAACAATGTGGACTGGACCCATTTTACGCAAAAATATGAAATATCTGGACCCATATTCTTAAATTTTACCCATTTTTAGCTAAATATGAGAAATCTGGATCCATTTTATGCATACAATTACATAATTTGGACCAATTTTTAAAATGTGGACCCATTAGAAAAATGGTGTGGGACTTTCCCAACTGTGCCAATAGCTGGCTGCACCATTGATGATGACGAGGATGATGATGGATGAGGATGAATATGATGAGTATGATGATGAAGAAAATGAAGAAGGATGAGGAGGAGGATGAAGATTATGAGGATGATGATAACGACGATAGATGATCGATGAGGACGTGATGAAGATGAGGATGATGACGATGGATGAGTATGATGTGATGAGGATGATGGTGATGATTACAACGATCGATGACAGTAAGGATGATTATAATGATTAGACAACAATGAGAATGATGATGACGATGACGAATAGGATGAGGATGATGATGACGGATGATGATAATACTGTAATGATATCAATAGTGGTGATAAAAATATTATAAATAATATTATTATATAACAGTACTAAAATTGTAATTCATTTCAATAATAAAATATAATTTTGAAATAATAAGAATATAATATAGTAATATATAATATAATAATATTAATAATGATTTCAACAATAATAAATAAGCATATACTACTATTAAAATAATAATTTTTATATATATTCTATATGTGTACATTGCTTTGATGAGATTGTATATACTTTGAGAACAATAATAATAATAATAATAATAATAATAATAATAATAATAATAATAATAATAATAATAATAA